CTCGGCCTCCCAGAGTGCATGAGCCACCGCGCCCGGCCTAGGTTTTTAATTTTATGCATTTTTTAAAGACAATATTCTAAGAAGAGACACTATAGGCTGCAATAATCTGCCTTAGGTTTCCTTGGCCAAAACAAGTAAACAAACAGTAAACCTTTAGAAACTCACACTTACTGGACGAGGTTGCTTTAAGTAAATTTCAGATTTATCATGCTCCCAAAGGAAAATAAATCTAGTGAATTAAAGCCATTTAGCATCTTTTAGAAATTATTCCATGTAAAATAAAAGAAATTAGGGCCCAGGGTAATGGCTTATGCCTGTAATCCCAGCTACTAGGGAGGCTAGGGCAGGAGGATTGCTTGAGGTCAGAAGTTTAAGACCGGCCTAGGCAACACAGCAAGACCTCATCTCTAAAAAAATATTTTAAAATTAGCCAGGCATGGTAGTGGTACCAGTCTAGTCCCAGCTACTGGGGAGGCTGAGGCAAAAGAATCCTTTGAGCCCAGGAATTTGTGGCTACAGTGAACTACAATTGTGCCACTGTACTCCATGCTGGGTTACAGAGTAAAACTCCATCTATAAAATAAAAAAGAAAAATAAATCAAATCTTTAAACTCTGCCATTAAATTGTTTTATATAACCGTAAAAGCTTTTAACCTGAAAGTCCATCACTTCGTAGTACTGAAGCACAGCTTGCAGAAGGTCTCCCACTTTCCACCCTTTTTCTTGTAATCGTTTTATAAAATAAAAAAGAAAAATATATCAAATCTTTAAACTCTGCCATTAAATTGTTTTATATAACCGTAAAAGCTTTTAACCTGAAAGTATTTCAATTCTTAAGACCAATTAGTAAAGTGGGTTCATTAAACATTCAAGGACTTATTTGATTTCTTAATGATTAATGTTTGAAATGCACTTCATACAGCATCAATACAGAAAAACACTGTATAACAACCATGCAAATTCGTACTTTCCCAGATGCCAAAGAAAATAAGAAAGCAGACAGAAAACACATGATAAAATTCTGTCAATCCATTCATTAATTTAATTAGTGTTTGTGTGCACGCATATGCACACACAAAATTGTAAGCAATAAAACGTCTGAGGGTGGAAATAAAAAGTAGAAGAGTGTAAAAAGTCTGCATTGGAAGTTGGTACATCATAGCGCATATCCTTCTTCCCAAGATCCAGAGAAATTTACATTGTAAGAGGCTATATCACAAAAACATTGACAAATGAGAATACTTGTCACAGAGAAAATAGAAATATTGAGGCATTTTTGTAAGACAGAATGAAGATGGAATCAATCCCTCAGAAAAAGAGGAGAAGAAACTGTCCCACAAGAGATTGAAGTTAGAAAAGGTCTTCTCAAGTGCATAGTCAACCAAAGCAAAGTGTCGCACAGGGTATGGGGAATCATCTGGGCAACTCATTAAAGAATAACATCTGAACAGCTGGGAATTTAAGGCCCTCCTTCTTCTGACTAGCACAGACAGAGCAGCTGGCAGCAGCAGTTTTTACCCAGAGGATAAAGTCAAAGAAATGTGGAAATGTTCTCTCAAGAAAGTAGAATATCTGACTGAAGAGAATGCCAAATGAAGGTGTTAGGACTTGACAGAGAAGCAGAACAGAGCTTGGAGTAACTCCAAAGATCATCAAATAAGGGACAGAATGGGGAGAGAGGGAAGAGGCAGCTCCAGCAGAGAGAGAAAATATATTCAAAACTTCAACCCCCAAACAAAGCCCCCAGTATTTTAGCACTTGCTGGTATTCCCAGCCTGTCTTCTGCTACACACATGCACATACACACACCCTAAAGGCAAGTCTGCCTATCATGTGTTCAGCCCCTCACAGAGAACTCCAGGTCAGCCAATGTCATTTATACAAGAATTCAGGGAGAGAAATAGATCCTCAAGACTGCATTGGAAACCCATGCTAGCCACCTGTGCCAGTCATAACAGACCTTCAGAATTATGAACACACCACCAAGGGTCACAAGGAAAACCAATAGCATTAAGAATAACCAACCCCAGTGAAAACAGAGATAATTCAAGAAAAAGCAAAAAATATTTAAATAACTTTAATTATTGTCCTAGGGAATTTGAGTATATACCACATTGAAAAAATTAGAAAATCAGAAAAATAGAAAGACATCTTAGAAATTAAAATATGATTGCATAAAGAAACATTTCAAAAACTGGCTGACAAAGAAAGGGTAGGAACAAAGCTGGTACTCTGGAAAAAGAAGTCAAGGAATCCTCTAGAACATAAAGCATAAAAGATCAAAAGGGAGACTAAAACAGAGAGATTATGAAACGAGGAGGGCCGATCCAGGAAGTTAAATATCTAACAAATACAAGTTCCAGAAAGAAACAGCAGACACACGGGAAGGGAAAAAATTATTAAGAAAATGATAGAAGACAATTTCCTTGAGCCGAAGACAGATGTGAGTCTCAAAACTAAAAGGGCCCACTGTGTGTTAAAGAGAATTAAATGAGCATATAGGCCATATTCCGGTAAAACTTTAGGATGCTGTTATGGGTTGAACTGTACCTCCTAAAATTACACGTTGAAGTTCTAATCAACACCCGTGAATGTGACCTTCTTTTGAAATAGGGTCTTTGCAGATGCAATCAAGTTAAGTTGGGGTCATGCTGGATTAGGGTGGCCCTAATCCAATTCCACTGGTGTCCTTGTAAGAAAGGGAGGAGAGACAGAGAAACACCAGAGGGAAGAACACCGTGTGAAGATGGAGCAGAGGCTGGACTTAGGCAGCTGCAAGCCAAGGAATGCCAAGGATACTTGGCAAACTCCAGAAGTTAAGAGAAAGGCATGGAACAGATTCTTCCCTGGAGCCTTCAGAGACAACATGGTGCTACTGACACCTTGATTTCAGACTTTTAGCCCCCAGACTGTGAGACAATAAATTTCTGTTGTTGGCCACTCAGTGGTAATTTGTTACGACCAGCCACAGAAATTAACGCAAATAGCAATTGTACAGAGAAAACCTCAAGGACTTCCAAAGAGAAAAGAGGATTCCTAAAAAGAACCTAACATCGGACTTCTCACCACTAACACTGAATGCCAGAAGACAACAAAATAATATCTTTAAAGATTAGATAGACTTGGGTGACGGGCATACTTACAACCCTGACTCAAGCATTACAAAAGCGATCCTTGTAACCAAAAACATTTGTACCCCCGTAATACTTTGAAATTTAAAAAAAAAAATGGAAAAAAAAGATTAGATAGATAAAAAGTTTTGAAACTAGGATTTTATGTCCATCAAAACTAAAAATCAAATGAGATTCCCAAATAAAAACATTCTAGAATATGTTAAGGCTCAGAAATTTTTCCCTGAACCCCCTATGAAAAAATCACTCCAAAAAAAATGAGACAGGAATCCAAAAACACGTCAACATGAATATAAGAAACTATGGCAACTGAGTGTGCACCTGAAGAAGAAAATAAAGCTGGAAGCAAATGAAAGGAGACGCATTAGATAGTAACGGTGGGGAAATTCTCTTCTAGTTGGAAAGTTTTACTGTCGTAACACTACATTTTTATCTCAAACAGTTACACAGCAGAAAATATTTACACATGACAATTTGTAAGCTCTGATAATTGATTTTTAATGTGTATCAACCTATATGAGAATATTTAAGTTATATTTCAAAATAGAATACAAATATCACAAATCATAACAATGGAAAACCAATAAAATTAGAATATAGAGTGGGGAAAAAGAGGTAAAAATGCAAGAAATGTGTTAATTTTTTATTTTTCACAGTGTGGAGCTTATAGACATCATTTAGAGCTGTTCAATCAAGAAACAGAGATATAAGGATCATATTTAAAGTTAAAATGATAGTCACCAGAAGACTATTTTAAATGAATTAAAATAGAAAGAAAGGAATAAAAAGAAATTGGATACAGATAAATAATCTGGCTTCATACAATGAAAAGAAAGCAACATCAATAGACAGTACTATTTCTACTGATAAAAATTCTCTAAAGCTAAAAGGTACTTAAAAACTGCTTTGAAAATAGACAATTAGCCGGGTACAACACGCCTGTGAAGTCTCAGCTACCCAAGAGGACTGCTTGAGGCCAGGAGTTCGAGACCAGCCTGAGCAACACAGTGAGACTCCCATCGGTACAGAACACAGAAAAATTAGCTGGGCATGGTGGCACGCACCTGTAGTTCCAGCTACTCTGGAGGCTGAGACAGGAGGACCATTTGAGAGAAAGAGAGGTGGGGGGTGGGGGGAGAGGGAGAGGAGAGAAAAAGAGAGAGAAAGAAAGAAAATAGACATTTTTTGCTACCAACACAAAAATAGGTATCAATTTAAACAAGAACTCAACCTGAAGTTTTACAGGAATTATGATAGCTACTACAAGCAACCTTAAACAATCAATTTCACCATTGTCCAGATTTGCCTAGTGAATGTTTTCCTAATATTCATGGTAAGTTTCCCTTTTCCAAAGCATGCAATGTCTGTTTATGTCCTTCACACACAGCAGTGCAAATTGCGTTTCTGTCCCATCCAAAGGACAGCCAGCCTCAACACTGCCAAGCAGCCCATGGTTTTATAAATAGTTAATCCTGCACCATAATCAAAGCCCGGCGAGACTTTCATGCTTTTCTGGCTTCTTCACACATAAGCTGGGTTTGCTCTAAACATTTAAAAATCAAACAGAAGAAAATATTGCTTCTATGTGATTTTCTAAGCAACAAAAATAACAAAAATTATAA